CTGTTCGGGACCCACTAGCAGAGAAGCCATTGTTTAGCTTGTTGCTTGGCCTGTTTCCTACCACCCAATCCTTCCCCTTCCCATTGTCCTTAGGCCCCTCATCAGGGTACAGGATGCAGCTGCTGGCACAGCAGCAAAAAGAATGGGAAGGGGCTGGGAGAAGTAGATGAGGCCATCCCAGGAGAGTTGAGAGGCTTCAGCTGGTGGTTCCTTTCAGAAGAGCTGCTGACAAAGGCCCCAGGCAGCGGGCTCTGCCAGCATGGCACTGGGCACTGGGTGCAGAACTCAGGCTTCAGAGGCAGAGAGATCCCGATTCAAGCGCCAGTATCTGCCACTGACATACTGTGTGTCCCTGGGCAAGCCTCTTTCGATCTCTGAGCAACAGTTTCCTTCTTGGTTAGAGGAAGAATAAGATGCTTGCTTAGTGAAGAATGACTTACTGAATTGAGGAGTAACACAAAAATGCATGATACCTAAATATTTTTAAATGTTCATTTCTGTTCCTTCCCCCTACCTCAGCCATAGCAAAGTATCAAAAAAGATTATGTCAAAGAGGGCTCTTGTGACAAGTGGAAGCAGTGCTTTCTCTTAAATAAATGAAGATGTTTTCCCACAACTGGGTTATCTGAAAAATCACATTGAATAAATCTATAATAAATCCCATTTAGTAATTTACAATCACATTAATGGAACAGCTAACGTTTATTGAGTACTTACTATGTGTCAGACACATCGCTTCTGCACAGATACTCTGTGAGTTAAGTACTGTAGGGTTAATTTCATGGGTGTATGACCAGAGCAGCTGCACAGGGCCCCCCACTCAGAAGGGTGCCCTATACTTGGGGTTTAATTTTCTGTGGTCACCACCTTGAAATTCTTAATCATTCTATCTTTTAATTTGTGTCTTATAAGTAAAGTTGGGTGGAGCACTGGAGCACACCCTGGGTATTTGGAGCCTTGGTTCATACATGGTCCTGCCTCCTGTCACCTCCCCACCTCCTCCTCCCTGAGATGGATTCTCAGCTGTCTGTTCCCCCTACGCACCCCACATGCCTATCGCCACCACAACTCTATCCCAGGCAGGGGCCTGGGTGTCGGCACAGGGAGAGGAAGAGAGAGTTTGCATGCCAAGTCATGAAACAGGCCTCTTGCCTGTCTCATATGAGGGTCTACACTCACCTTGTATCACCAGACCTAAGGAAATACAACATTAAATAGTGAATAATAAACAGCATGACAGATTGAGAGAGACAGCAGAGACAGAAAAGGAACCCTGCATTTGCATTTGCATTTGCATTTGCATTGGTCCTCATAAATTATGTAGCCAGTCCTGGGTACTATGATTGCCTCCATTTCACTGAGGTGGCAATCATAGTGGACACTGAGGCTCAGAGAGGCTCAGTAGTTTGTCCAGGATCACACAGCTGCCAAATGGCAATGTTCAGACACAGACTTAGATCCCAGGTAAGAGAGGACTCCAAGATCTTAAAGAGCTTTCAGCCCAGGAATTAGGAGAGCTGGATCCAATTTTTGACCACGACCTCGGCAAGTTTGCCCCTACTCTGTGCCTCAGCTTACCCAAGTGAAAGCACTCTATTGAGTCTTCCAAAGTAGCACAGGGTCTCAAAATTTGACTTTGCCAGTTACATGGACTGTGATTTTGAGCACAGGGAAATCATCTTTGCCTACCTTCCCCATAGAGTTGCCAGGAGCATTCAGCAGACACATACCCACTCTGCATGACACTTCACAGCATATAAAGCACACCCATGCTACTCCCTGCTACAAATAACATGAAGCAGAAGGCTGGGCTAGGAATATTATCATCCCCATATCACAGACAGAAACTTTGAAGCACCAGAACTCTAAAGTGACTTCCCCAAACTCACTGCATTTCAGGCAAGTTTTGAATAGGTTAACAGGACTCCCCAGGATCATAATATGAACATCCCCAAAAGAGAAGATGGATCACAACCTTGTGAGTCTTGCTGTGGGAGGGCAGCAGGAGCCCCTACTCTGAGAGGGGTGGCTTAATCCCTGGCCTTGACAGTCCCAGGTCTGAGGAAGGAGGCCAGAGAGGTATCCAAGAGCTCCTGAAGGAAAAGAAACACCTGGCCAGTAACTTTCAAAGGGTGACAGTATCCTGTGTGATGTCTACCCAACATAGGAGGGGTGTTATCTACAGATCATAAGCAAACAGGCAGACAGAAGGACCAAGAGGCAGATCCAGCAGAAGCATCCCCCTGTTTGTCAATTCTACTTCTGTAGCCTCCCCACCCATGACCAGCCCACTGACCAGTCCTAGGAGAAATCTCCACCTGCAGAGTGCACAGGTTCTGGCTGACCAGAAGTCCCTGAAGCTGGGGTGGTGTGTCCTCAGCCCTGCCCTACTCCCCTGGGTTCCTCAGTCCCTGGTTCCCTGGGAACCTGTATCATCTACAACAAAGGAGGGCTACCCCATCCTTGGGCCAGCCACCTCTCCTGCCTGGGGCTTCTGATGACCGCAGGATGTGTTTCAGAAATGGTTCTTGAAGTCAAGAGCCTCACCTGTCTATCCCCAGTCCTTCAGGGAAGCACTAGTGAAGAACTCTCCAATAAAATTTTCTGTGGTGGTGGAATTGTACTACTCCTTGCTGCCTGGTAGCCACTTGCCACATATGGCTACTGGACACAGGGGCCAATGATACTGAGGAACTAATTTAAAATTTGTATTTTGTTTTAATTATGTTAAATGGAGATTTAAATTATTATATGTGGCCAGCGGCTACTGTATTGGACAATGCAGCTCTAGAAACAAAAGGGGACAATACACCATGACTTGGGGCTTCAAAAGCACTTTCACAGTCATCTCATTGACCTGTGAAATAGGTGTTTATCCCATTTTACAGAGGAGAACACCGAAGCTCAGAGAAACTAAACGGCTTCCATGCTGATGGAGCCAGGAAGAAGTAGAGACATGACTGAGTCCCAGGTTTCTTGATTTTGATTCCAAAATTCCACTCATACCTCTTTGCAACACTGCCCACTTACGTAGTCATCACATATCTATTGGGTCATTGTTATTTAGGAGCATACTTCTGGGCTAGACAGTTAAAAACAAATCAGATACAGGCCCAGGCTTTGCAAGAATCCTTAAACAAAAGCAGTGTACTTGCCACAATAAGAATATAGGCATAAAAATTACCTTAAGTGACTTTCTTCCAAGTAGCTCAAAGCACTTTGCTTTAAATTCCATTTATATCTGACGACTTCCCAATTGATATTTCAGGCTCCAACCTGTGCCCAGAGAACTCTCAATGGGTATACCAAACAGCCTCCATTTGAATATTGAATTGGCTTCTCAAACTTATCCCAAACCTGCTCTTCCCCATCTCAATAAATAACAATTCCCTGCTTCCAGTGTTTCCACCTCCAAACTCTCTCTTCTCTTCACACCTTTCATCTAATCTATCAGCAAAAATTGCCAGTTCTGTCTTCAGGAAGCATCCAGAATGCTCTCCATCTCTGCTACTGCCTCTCTAATCTATCAGCATCATCTCTAGCTGGACTGTAACAAACTGCTCTCCTGTGTTCCTCACTCTCCCCTCCTTTTTTCTACAAAGTAGCCAGAGTGATTTTTTTTCTTCTTTTTATTTTTATTTTATTTTATTTTATTTTATTTTTTTGACACGGAGTCTCGCTCTGTCGCCAGACTGAAGTGCAGTGGCGCAATCTCGGCTCGTTGCAACCTCCACCTCCCAGGGTTCAAGCCAGTTGAACCCCTGCCTCAGCCTCCCAAGTAGCTGGGATTAAAAGCGCACACCACCACGCCCAGCTAATTTTTGTATTTTCAGTAGAGACAGGGTTTCACCATATTGGCCAGGATGGTCTCCATCCCCTGACCTCACGATCTGCCCGCCTCAGCCTCCCAAAATGCTGGGATTACAGGCGTGAGCCACCACGCCCGGCCCAGAGTGATTTTTTTTTTAACGGAAAAGCCAGAGTATGCCACCTCTTAGCTTAAAGCCCCCAGTGCTTTCCCAAAGTCCTTTCAGTGATCCATAAGGCCCTAAAGCTTTGGCCTCTCACGCTTCTCTGACCTCATTTCCTATCACTCTGTTCCTTGCTCTTCTGGTCCAGCCACAACAGGTCTTCCTGGTCACTCCTTCCTGCAAACACTGCACAGCTCACTCCCTCACCTCCTCTGATAATCTCGCTGAATGTTCCCTTTTCACAGAGGCACTCCCCATCACCTGACCGTGTTTCAATTTTCCTAATAACACTTATAACCTCCTGACATTTAACATGCTTGCCTATTGTTGCTCTCCTCCCACTAGAGTATAAATAAACTGCAGGAATAGATTGACAGATAAGATACAGGATGCTCAGCTAAACTTGCATTTCACATACACAATGAATAATTTTTTAGTATGAGGATGTCCTAAATGTTGCATGGGATGTCTTAACGCTAAAAAATTGCTGTTTATCTGAAATTCAAACTTTACTGGGTGTCCTACATTTTCATTTGCTAAATCTGGCAACCCTACACAGGAAGACAAGGACCCTGGTTATTTTGTTCATGGCTGTATCCCCAGCGCTAGAACAGCTCCTGACACGTAGTAAGTAAGCTCTCAATAAATATTTATTGACTGAATGAATGTGTTCATTAATCTGAAACGCGCCTAAACTTTTAATAGCCTGTGTGAGAGTCAGAGGGGCGGAGCCTTCAGACTTGGTTAGTCCAGTTCACAACTGGGTGCCTAGGCGGCTGATAAACTTTCCAGGTATGTCGAGCAGCTGGGTACTTTGCCTGCCCCGCCCGCGCTCCGCAGGATGCAGAACTCCACCCAGCTCAGATGAGCAGCAGGTCCCGGAAGCCCTCCTGGGGGCGGGGCCACCCTAACCCGCGGGTGGGACCCAGCCCCAGCCGGGTCAAGGCCCCTTTAACGCCCCACCTCTCCGCCACGACTTTCGCCCCGGCGTGACGTCACCCAGGCGGGCGACCAATGGGAACACGGCTTACTGGCAGGCGGCGCCGGTGGCCGCTGCCAAAGGGGAAGTGATCTGGGGCTGGAGCGATGGCCCGGGTCTGGTGCCCGCGGCCGCCGCCGCCGCCGCCGCCACCAACACCAACAACAACGTGTCGGGAGCAGCCGCGGCCGAAGCCGGAGCAGGGGCCGGAGTCGCGGCTGGAGTGGGGCCTGCGCGTGTGAGTGGCCGAGAGTTGCCCGTGCCGGAGACCTCAAACTACGGGCGGGAGCGCTTTCTGTCGGCCAAGCCGCCGTCGCCCGCGGCACCGTGTCCCCAAGGCCCAGACAGCGGGGCGGGGGTCTAGCAGGCGCGGGACTGGCTTCTCTCAGGCCGACCCTTCGAGCCGGGATCCGGATCTTCCTCGGCCTCGGGCCTCCTTCACGTTCAGGACGGAGGCCGGAGAACGGTGATCATCACACACCCCAGCCAGCTTCTTGGGCCGGGCATTTTCTCTGCGGCCAAGCAGTGTTGGGATTGTAACTGCTGGGAGCCGCCTCCTGCCGCCACCTGTCCTGCCAGGAAGGGACTGACGCGTTCCCACGTTCTTGCTCTGCACCTCCCCGCTCTCTTCCCATTCAAGAACAAGTTTCTCTTCCCTCTCCGTTGGAAATCCTCCCCCGGAGGTACAAAACACCTATTTTAAGCGTGCCCTTCCTCAGCTCCTGGAGCACTCTTAGAAGTATTGCCTACTTATCCGGGCTGAGAATCCTTCATTTTTGACTTGGCTTTTTTTCGCCATTTGGAAGATAGATAAAGGCCCCTTTCCACCCTCTACTAACACTCTGCGCCCAAGGCCTTATCCTTTGGGGTCACCAGCTCCTTGGCCATTTCTATGTGATTTCCCCCACCCATCTGAGTTCCAGTTTCCTCTGGGCTCCAATCTCCAGTCCCTGGCGGATCTGGTCAGTCCCACCCCTAGGTGGGAGTGACCAGGGGGCTCTGGCCCAGGATCTCCAACCCTGGAAGGCAGCTCCAAGGCAGGAAGAGAATTGGGCGTCGGGTACGAACCTGGCAGCTCAGGAGTCGGGGCTCCACTTACCCCACACAAAAAGATGAAAAAGCGCAAAGAGCTCAATGCACTGATTGGTTTGGCTGGGGACAGCCGGAGAAAGAAGCCCAAGAAGGGCCCAAGCAGTCACCGCCTGCTTCGCACTGAGCCTCCCGACTCAGACTCTGAGTCCAGCTCCGAAGAGGAAGAAGAATTCGGTGTGGTTGGAAATCGCTCTCGCTTTGCCAAGTGAGTAGTGGTGAAAGGTGGAATGGGAAGAAGGCCTCTCCTTGCACTACCAAGGGGCCACATTGACAGGAAGGAGAAAGGAATTCCTTAGGAAGAAAAATGGGTGTAGACCTTGGAAGTCAAAGAGGGGAAAACGGTTTTAGGGAAAAGGTAAGTTCAGATCCTGAATGAAGAATAAGTTAGAGACCTGTCTTTAGGTGTAGAAAGAAAATCTCCAAATCTGAGGTGGAAATATGGACTTGGGAGAATGTGCCAAGAGCCCAGGGGGTCCTAAAGAAGCGAAGAATGGAGACAGAGGAGCAGAGAAGCTTTGGAGACTAGACCTTTTGAAACAGTGTAGAAAAAAGGAGAAACGGAGACTTTAAGACTGCAAATTATTTCGTTTTTGCACTCTTGATGATTCTGAATATTGGTGATGGGGAAATATGGTGAGAGATACAGTAGGAAGTAGGAGCCTTGAGAGTAGGTGGGGTGGGGGGGCAAAAGAAGAGGCATCGTTTTCCCTAGTCATTCATAGGTGTAGAGACCACTAGGCAAATCAAGTAGTAAGATTTGAGGACATTGGGAATGGGGCTCAGGGTGGGAAAGGACCAAAGGGAACTTTAAAAACGCTCTTGGACTCTCTGGGCGCACACTAAAAGAAAAGAGGATTCTGCTGAAGATGTGGAAACAATGGCTAGGCAGAAGGTCAGGGTGCTGACATTGAGTGGTTGGTTGGTTTAAAGTGTCTTGTTTTGTTAAAGGAAGAGTTTGATTTCTAATGAGCTTTGTCAACTTAGGCTGTTAAGGGCAATCCTGGGTTTGGGTTATGAAGGTCTGATGAAGTGTTACCTTCATCGGAAGATACCTGGAGTAGTTACCCTGCTAAGTTAGTTTAGACCTTGAAAGTTGGTTGATATTTTGTGTGAAATCTAGCCCCTTCTGTGTTTCCTTACTTCTGAGCCAATAAGCTAGAATACACCAGGTGTCCACTTAAAACTACAGATCCTGTTTCTTTCATTTCTTTTGCAGTAAAACTTGCTCAAAAGTTTATAAAGTTTCAGGAAACTGAAACAAGATTCCCCGGAGTGAGTGAGTATGCATTTGAGAGAGAGAAATCAATAGGCAAATTACAGTGCAGAGATGGAATTGCAGAGAAACATTGATCTTTACACTTTTGTGACCTGAGCTTGTATTCAAAGACCTCTCTCCTGGTGATGACAGCTGCAGTGCCTTTACGATCTTCCTTTTACCTGCAGGAGCTCCCTCTGTTTTATGTGATGTTTGAAACTTTTGTACCCAGTAGATGAACCCTTAATAGGTCATATTACTTATTCATTTAAGTGCTTTACCCTACCTTCCCTGGTTAATTCACTGGTTATTCATTTAGAGGAGATAATTGCATGGCAAAACGTGTACTATTTCTAATGAAGCTATACCTCATATCACTTCTGTACTCATGGTTGAATTTGTTCTCTTGAGCAGGGGAGACTATTTACGATGCTGCAAGATCTGTTATCCGCTCTGTGGTTTTGTCATCCTTGCTGCCTGTGTTGTGGCCTGTGTTGGCTTGGTATGGATGCAGGTTGCTCTCAAGGAGGATCTGGATGCCCTCAAGGAAAAATTTCGAACAAGTAAGTGGTTACTCCTTTTTTTTTTTTTTCTTTTTTTGAGACAGGGTCTTGCTCTGTTGCCCAGGCTGGAGTACAGTGGTGCAATCTCGGCTCACTGCAGGTTCAAGTGATTCTTGTGGTCAGCCTTCTGAGTAACTGGGATTACAGGTGTATGCCACCACGCCCAGCTAATTGTTTTGTATTTTTAGGAGAGACAGAGTTTCACCATGTTGGCCAGGCTGGTCTCAAACTCCTGACCTCAGTTGGTCCACCCACCTCGGCCTCCCAAAGTGCTAGGATTACAGGCGTGAGCCACCGCGCCCGGCAGTGGTCACTCTCTTCAGGGTGTAATCTTGGACTCCTTTCCAGGTTCTGGGACAAAGTCAACCATGCTGAACGAAGAGTTTTGCTCATTCTAGTGAAGCAATTATACATTCCTCTCAGTATTTTTATACTCTTTTTGAGCTGTCTGCTTGAATGTTGTAACACTTATTTGTTTTTAAACTCACAAATAAAAGGCAGTGCTTATGCACCAGCAGGAGAAGTAATATCTGAAATAATGGCATTGCAGTAAATGCTTAGCGAGCAGAAGGCAAGAGACTCCTACCCCCAGGATAGGAGTCTAGAACTTCGTTTAACCTCTACTTATAGCTTGCATCTCCCCGAGTATAAAGTGACAATGACAACACTGAGCTATTCCTTCTACCTCACAGGGCCATTTGAGAAAGAATGTGGGAGCATCTGTCAAAGGATTGCCTCTTTAGAAAGACCAAATAAGAGCATAGGAATGGGCAATAATAAGAGTAGCTAACATCTGTGGAAGGCCTACTGTGTGCCAAGTCTCATATCATTTTCTTTACAAAATAATCCTGTGAGATGGCTATTATTTTTATTATCTTGTGCTCTTGGAAGGATTAAGTAATTTGTTCAGTGATTAAGTATGAAAGAGCTGAGCATCCTCTTGCCCCTTGCTGCCCAACTTCACGTTTACAACACTACTATCTGCACCACTGTTCCCGGTGGCCTTGTAAGCCTACGCACATTTATTCAAGGGCCTACAAATCTCTTGGATATCAACTTGGTCAGTAATCTAAAAGAAGTTTAGTAGAAGAAACAGGAAGAACTGGTTTTCTGCACACTTACCAGTTTTCAAGCTTAGAGCAAGGACTGATAGATTTCTCTCCTTAGCTGTGCTTATACTAGTAACATGATCTGTTTCAAGAAAAAAAATTTAAATACCATTAATGAGTGTTATCATTTTAAAGTTTTAGGAAACTTGCACTAATTTACATATTCATGAAAGGCTTACAACAACCATACCTACTTTGAACACTATCCAACTGTCAGAAATGTTTATCTCATGAATGAGTTTTAAAGTTTAAGGAGGTTTTCAAGTCACAGAGTTTTGTATATTCTAAATTGTAAAGTTGTATTTTACACATCCAAATTACTTTTTCATTTATTTTCTTTTTTTTTTTTTTTTTTGAGATAAGGTCTTGCTGTATCACCCAAGCTGGAGTGCAGTGGCATCTGGCTCATTGCAGCCTTGACCTCATGGACTCAAGCAGTCCTCCCGTGTCAGCACCCCACACCCCCAACCCTAGTAGCTGAAACTACAAGCACGCGCCACCCTCTGCTAATTTTCGTATGTTTGTAAAAGACAGGGTTTTGCTATGTTGCCCAGACTGATCTCAAACTCCTGGGCTCAAGTGATCTGCCTGCCTCAGCCTCCCGAAGTGCTGGAATTACAACTGTGAGCCACTGTGGTCGGCCCAAATTACTTTTTCCAAAAGGTACGTTGGCACAGTAGCTTTGACTGGATTTGACAGATTTTTTTTTTTTTTTTTTAGCAACACTGAAATTTTTGGCTCTAGGTTTCAAGGGTTAATCTTCTAAGCAAAGGCACCAGTTTCAACTTAATCACAAATACCCTAACCTTAATAGCATGAGCACACCAGGAAACTGACCACAAGGCTTTCTCAAGGTCATAAAGAAATCTGGCTCCAGAACTACAGTTCTTACTTTCCAGCTTAAGCCTAGAAGATTACAATATCCTCACTTTCCCATCTGAAGCCTAGAATATTACCATATCCCAACTTCTGTTGGCTGCCTACAGTTACTCAAGTTTTGAACCCAGCCTAAGAACAGCTAATTTTTAGTGTGTTAATGATATTTCTAGTGATGTTGCTTTGAAACAAACAAACAAAAGTTAAAATACTAACTTTGGTTTTCTTCTGAGTTTCTGATTCTGGGGATGGGGATTCGGTATGCCACAATTCTCTGCCAGAATCCTAACCTGGATTACCAATTTTTGGAATATGGTATAAGAAACAATGAGATATGTACCCCATAGTTATTTTTCCTCCTTTATAGTTGTGCTTGCAATATTCCACAGTGTCTCTAAGGCCAATTTTTTCTTTGTATGTAGGTAGTAAGCATAACTTGGAAACTAGGTTCTCAGAAACATAAATAACCACCGAAGTCATCTGTCTGTGCCATCATCTCTCTGTAGCTAGTTAATTGGGTCTCCTAACTACAGCCCTGTAGTGAGTTAGGCTTGTAGTTGAGCTATAGGCTTGTGCTGTAGCTTGTTTTGATCACATGTAGCAATTATTTATTTATATATTTCAAAACATTGCTCAATTCACGCATCCAGGGATTCCTTTTTCTGACTGCTCTGCACCTGAGTTTACGGGATACTTATGTAATTTATAGGGTTAGCTGAGCTTTTCAGGTAATTTCTTTGGGAATGCAAACAAAGTACTACATTTTAAAAATAGACCAGGTACATATATAATAGACCTGGCAGTCAGTCAACAAATATTTATTGAACACTTGTTAATACCAATCCCTGGAAATATTATACTGTCTTCAGGAGATGTCAAGAATTATACCCTGGACTGCAGACCCTGCTTTCTACCAGTGAGCCACATTCTCCTAGGACCCTGACAACATTTGTCAGCAAGCTGAATGAAGCACATTTGGAATTGTCAGCCCAGCTGCTTTGTTGGCTTTGATTTGCTACAATAGAAATGCCAGCACCTGTGATGTCTTCCTGACATTGCAAAACAGGACTTCCTGAGGGAGGGTAGGGGATGGGGTGTAGTCAGTCCATAGGCTAAACCGTTGTAGACTACTTGAGAGTTTTTTTGTGATAACCAGTATCTTTACTAAATGGAACCAATCTTGTTAGGTTTAAATAATCTTTCTTTGAATTATGCTTCTTTTTTTTTTTTTTTTTTTTTGGTTGGTTGGTTGGTTGGTTGTTTTTGAGGTGGAGTTTTGCTCTTGTCACCAAGACTGGAGTGCAATGGCACGATCTCGGCTCACTACAACTTCTGCCTCCCAGGTTCAAGTGATTCTCCTGCCACAGCCTCCCGAGTAGTTGGGATTACAGGCACATGCCACCACACACAGCTAATTTTTTTTTAGTAGAGACAGGATTTCACCTTGTTGGCCAGGCTGGTCTCGAAACTCCTGACCTCAGGTAATTCACTCATCTCAGCCTCCCAAAGTGCTGGGATTACAGGCCTGAGCCACCACACCCTGCCTAAGTATATTTTTTAAGGTTAATTTTTTTTTCTTGTTTTTCAAGAAGACAGTGGGATTCACGAATTTGGATAAGACCACCTGCTTGTCTGGCTTTAATACCTTTTTGAGAAATCCAGAACTTCTTGATTTTATTTCTATAAATTTTCCAAGACACTTGCAAGGAAAGGAAGAAGGATTACTAAAATACCTGAAATAGAAAGCAAAGCAGATAGGCTTTTTCTTTTTTTTTTTTTTTTTTTTTTTTTCAGTCAAAGAGAAACTTGATCCTTAAGCTAAAAGTACTGACTGGCCCTGAAACTCTTAGCTCAGTGCTCTTTTTTCCAAAACCAGATACTTCAAAAGACCTCCACAGTTAGGAAGATTCTATTCTCAACCATCCTTTTCTGTCACTCAACTATGGAATACTTGAATAAATGAAAAGAAATTTGAAAGAGTATAAATAAATGTGGAAAGTGTAAATAAATCAGGCACCTCCTTTTCTGTCCATACAGACAAAGTAGTGACTTGGTCATTTAGCGCAGAACTTAAAAATGGTCTTGTGCTAACGAGGGCATTAGGAGATATAGGTATCTGTGACCTCTAAAGTATAGTAGAAAAAGTACTGGTCCTAGGAGCAGCAGGTTTGACTTTTTGAATTCTGGCTTTGCAAAACTAGCTGTAAAACTTAGACAAGTAACTTATGGGCCTTCATTTTCTCATCTATAAAATATAGAGATGTATTTGTGCTACCAAAGCACTTTGGGCATTCCTCTGTCATAACATCAGTCACACTGTATAGTAATTCTGTGACCATGCCTGGCTCCCCACTAGACTGAGAGCTTCAGGGTCTTTTGTATATACTGGTACCCATGCAGGGCTGGGCACATGGTGGGGGCTTAATAGCAAGTTGTTGAATAATTAATACATAAAAGTTTATTGCAAACTGGAAAGACATTGTATAACTATAAAATATAGTTTATTTTATATTTAATCCTGTCAACATTATGTTTACTATTTGGTATATGTTGACATTTTTCCATTTCCTCATCTTAAAGATTAGGGAATCAAAAGAACTAGGTACATTATTTTGAGCATTAACATACAAAATTTTAAATTATTTGCTTCCTATCTTGGAAAAACATGAATTAGTAGTCACAAGTTATTTGTTTGCTACACTTCCTCCCATGTATGTAATAAACGTACCTCTACTTGGCTTGTCTCTCCTAAAAAGCTCCAAACCAGATAATCATTGTGATCCCCTCTTGGCTCATACAATCCTCAGGATCCAGAATATTTTCAGGGCTGGTCACCTTTATATGTTTATTAGTTAATAATTGTAACCCAGGTTATTTATGTATTTGTCTATTTCCTCTTCCACTCCTGCCTCCTAGTTTGTGCATATAGACTGCAGGAAAGAGAGACTTCGCCCTTTGCCCCTTTGGGGTACCTGAGTATGGCAGATGTTTGTTGGATGAGTTCTTCTTTATAACCTAACTGAAAATGTATAGGAAAATCAGTGAAATGAATTTAGACTGGCTGGTAAAATGTTTTTACTGTATGAGATAGATATATTCCTGTAAACCGTGTGTAAATCAAGTGCTATATTAAAAGCACCTGCTGGAAACTACTGGGCAAAAGGAAATCAGTATGTGGAAGAGACATCCACACCTCCATGTTTATTATAGCATTATTCACAATAGCCAATATATGGAATAACCTAGGTGTTCAACAGCAGATGGATGAAGAAAATGTAGTATATATACACAGTAGAATACTATTCAGCCATAAAAAAGAGTGAAATCTTGTCGTTCTCGGCAATATGGATGGAACTGAAGGACATTGTTAAGTGAAATGAGCTGGGAACTGATGGAACTGAAGGACATTGTTAAGTGAAATGAGCTGGGAACGGAAAGTTAAACACTGCATGTTCTCACTCATGTGGAAGATAAGAAAAGTTTATCTCACTGGGTGTGGTGACTCACGCCTGTAATCCCAGCAACTAAGGAGGCTGAGGTGGAAGGATCACTTGAGCCCAGGGGTTTGAGACCAGTCCAGGGAAGCATAGCAAGACACCATCTCTTAAAAAATTAAGGCATGGTGGTGCAAGCTTGTAGTCCCAGCTATTCAGGAGGCTGAGGGAGAAGGATCGCTTGAGCCCGGGAGTTTGAGGCTGCAGTGAGCTGTGATCATGCCACTGCCCTTCAGCCTGGGTAACAGAGAGAGACCTCATGTCTAAACAAAATAAAAATATATTTCAAATAATTTGATTCTATAGAAGTAAAAAAATACAACAGGATACTAGAGGCTGAGAAGAGTAGGGGAAGAAAGGATAGGGAGAGATTGGTTAAAGGATGAAAAATTACAGCTAGATAGGAGGAGAAAGTTCTAGTGTTATGTACCACTGTAGCATGACTAGAATTAACACTAGATAGTTCCAAATAGCTATAAGGAGGATATCAAATATTCTCGACACAAAGAAATGATAAATGTTTGAGATGATGGATATGCTAATTACTCTGATCTGATCACTATACGTTATATGTATGGAAACATTGCTGTGTACCCTGTAAGCATGTACAATTACCAAATATCAATTTTTTTAAATGTTAAAGCATATAGGAAGTCTGTCATTATAATGAAACCTTTTGGCAAACGTGTTTGGAAAATGAGGAAATATATCTCATTTCTTTTAATTATTCTGAATTTTCAGTAGTGAGCTTACTTAAAATAAGGATACCACCATCACTCCTCATTTTGTGGGGGATCTTAGTTACTGTTCAATGTGTTTGGGTTTTTATTTGGTTTGTTTGTTTGTTTGTTTGTTTGTTTGTTTTTGAGATGGAATCTAGCTCCGGCCGCGTAGGCTGGAGTGCAGTGGCGAGATCTTGGCTCACCGCAAACTCCTCCCAGGTTCAAGTGATTCTCCTTCCTCAGTCTCCCGGGTAGCTGGGATTACAAGTGTGCCACCACACCTGGCTAATTTTTGTATTTTTAGTAGAGAGGGGGTTTCGCTATGTTGACCAGGCTGGTCTCAAACTCCTTACCTCAGGTGATCCACCCACCTCAGCCTCCCAAAGTGCTAGGGTTACAGGCGTGAGCCACCACACCCAGCCTGGGTTATGTGTTGAGGGTTTTTTTGTTTAACTTAATAGTATAACATTAACTCCATTTCATACCCTACAATTATTTCACAGAGCAAGCATTTGAACCCTTCTGTATACCTGGCTCTGTGCTGGCTGCTGGAAATGCATACCCAAGTTAGATCTAGTCTTTGTCCTCAAGCCTCTCGCCATTTGGTAGAGGAGACAGATGAGTAAAGTTACAGCACCACATGTTAAGTGCTTGGTAGAATTTGGAGTGGAAAGAAGTTCAGTGGTCCGAGGGTCCTGGCTGTTGGCGCTGAATCTTAAAAGGAATTAACTAGGCCAAAGTGGTAGAAATCAAGAAGAGACAAACCAAGGGCATCTAGGCAGAAACCATAGCATGTGCAAGGGTCATGAGGCTTCAGAGGTTAGTGTGTCAGGAAGATCTGCTTGACCACAAGTAGGTTGAAGACTTAGGTAAAGTGATGAGAAATGTAATTGGAAGTTAAGCAAAGGCCAGATATTTATTCAGGTGGTAAATATTGATTGAGTGCGTAAAATGTGTCAGGAGTGTTCTAAGTGTAGAAATGAACAAAATACTACATGAGCAGATGAACAAAATGTAGCTAACCATGCAGAAATGAACAAAAGAGTCTTGGAGCTTATATTTTAGGAAGTTATTTTATATGGCTCTTTTATGTCAGTTTCTAGTTTTAAGGCAGCATATAATAACTAAGGCAGTCTGTGGCTTTAAAAAAAAAAAAAAGGGATGTAGATTTTATTCTGGAGGACCAGCCATTATTAATATTTTATTCTCTATGAAAAGGGAAAATGCTCTTTAAAGAAAGAAGAGAAAGCATTGTTTCAGGCCTCTACCTTCAGGCTGGCAAATCCCTAAACCATTCAGGAGCTATTGTTTCCCCCCAAAAAAGGCCAAATATCACACTACTTCACCTAGCATATTCTTTTATCTTCTATTTCATTTTGAGTTTTGGGGTGATTTAAGACTTAAGAAAATACTGTTTACTATTTATGAAAAAGATTAAAAATCTTAGTCCTCATCACAGCTTTCAAAAGGTGGCAAGACCTCCCTCTTGCAGTTGACTAAGGTGGAAAAAATAGATTTAAGCATTTAGAAATATAACTTACAATCTCACCTTGGGCATTAATAGAATAAGATTTATAAATCTTAATTGACTAATCTAAAAGCTCCTTAATTGAGCTGGTCAGTAGTACTTAGCATTTATCATCTATTATATGCCTGGCCAGCTGTGTAAAGTGCTTTACAGCCATTCTCTCACTTAATATTAACAATCCTGTGAAGTATATTTTATCACTGTATTACAGATGAGGAAACTGAGCTCTAAGAATTTGAGTAATTTTCTCAAGATCATAGTAAGTCACGGAGTTGAGATTCAAAGGCAACTCTTTCTGCTCACATTCTGTTATGAGTTTTAGTTGGCTAACTTTAAAAGTTGCATTGCCAGTAGTGAAATAGCCCCAGTTAAAATGAGAGCTTTCGTGTAAAAGATATATATTCACATAAACCAAAGAACAATGTCAGAATTAACTTTTATTAATCCATCTTCTTTCCTAGTGCTTGATGATTTTTTTTCATCTTCGGACCATGAGGGCACTTTATGCTAGTTATGATTGTTCTTATTTTGTCTTTTTAGTGGAATCTAATCAGAAAAGCTCATTCCAAGAAATCCCCAAACTTAATGAAGAACTACTCAGCAAGCAAAAACAGCTTGAGAAGATTGAATCTGGAGAGATGGGTTTGAACAAAGTCTGGATAAACATCACAGAAATGAATAAGCAGGTAGGAAAAGTTTGATTTTTTGCTGTGTAAGCTATGAATATTTGTTTGGTTGTTTAGTATGAATAAGGTATAGGGAATTGTAGGTATAGGGAATTCATTTCAGATTGTTTTACTTTTTGAAATGGGGTTTTGCATACTGTAATCCCAGCATGTTAAAGTCAGTTAAAATAGTTATGAATTTACCAAATATTTAAAATGTTAATCCTTTCTGCAAAAGAAAATAATTCTACTAAATATAGCAGTTGAGAGAAAGTTGGAAGTTTCTTGAGTCACCCTTTCCTACAGAGTAGAGTAGGTGTCAAATAAAACAGGAGTGTCATCTAACCCCCAAGAAAAGTGGATAACCCATTTTTATTAGCTAATGAGAGCTTATTTCTTTTGAGTTTACAAAATCTGGAAATGATCAGCAGTAGTCATTCTAAGAATAGCTTAGGAGTGGGTGATGGAGTTGGTTAAATACCTTGGCCAGTCAAATAAGCCTAGATAGAGCATAAACTTTTCCAGTCCCTAAATTGACCAGAGTTGAATAGACATTGATTCCAGAAGTGGGACTCTGCCGGAGAAAAGGGGCTTATTCTAAGGATGTTGATCAAGCATCTTGTATGGATTAGGATACTGTATTTGTCACAGGGTAACTATAGTCCCATCCCTAGTTTTTCCAGTTTAGTTAGGAAATGTATATATGTAGAAAAGAAAAGTCAAGTACCAGATGAATGACACACATGCAAAGTGCTTAAAACTAGATATTATTTTTCTTGGGGCTAAGAAGTTATTGTCTTCTTCAGAGTAGAATCACAAAGTTCAGAATGAGCCAGTAGTGACAAGGAGCGCTGTGCTAGAAGAAAGCGCTTGCAAATATGTCTGAAGCCACACCTTTCAGCAATGGTCCAGGAGTGGGGCAGTTCAGCACTTAAGACCAGTGATAAATAGTGTGGGGCAGTGGCTTCCAAACTTTTGCCTGGAACCTGCAGTAAAAAATGTTTTATATCGTTACCCAGTAAACGCATACATACCTATTTGTAACTGGCATAAACGTTTCTGAAACAGTAGCTCACCCTTAATATGTATGGTGCCTTATGCTACTTTCCATTCAGTTCTATTTAATCTTTCAAAATTATTCATGAAATAATTCATGAGTTACAGCCCCTGGTATTTACTATCTGTCCTTTACTCTTGGACTCTAAGTAATTAGAGAAAAGCAGGTATTCACCCCTTTTTTGCAAAAAGGGTAGGAGAAATTGGCCTTGCCTACATTCATACAGCAAATTACATCAGGTAAAAGTAGACCACATTGAAGCACTGAAAGATAGTCAGCATCTCTCCTGGGGCAAACTGGGGATTCCATGTAAGTAGCCAGTCATACAGTTTGCCATTCTGAGAGGAGGATGATACTGTTCAGCGTGAAAAGGTGAAGTCAGCTGTCTATTTTTCATCTCAGTCTTGTAAACTGACATTATAGGAGGAGTCAAAGGGGATATTGGCACATGGTGAGAGAACGCAGATAGATTTTCAAATTTTTGGTACATATGTTGATTTCTGAGTTCTCTTTAACCAGGAAGCTAGACACAAAAGAATCATTTTATTCTTAGCCTGCCATTATTTTTAATGCAAGAAGCACCTGAGAATGCAGATACAGTAGATCTCAATGTCATTGATAGGTTTTTGGAAACTGTGAACTTAAGTAAATGGCACATAATGAAACCAGTTTTATCATAGGCTAATTAATATAAACAGGACTTAAGGCCAGGTGTGGTGGCTCACACCTGTAATCCCAACACTTTGGGAGGCCAAGGTGGGAGAATCACTTGATCCCAGGAGTTCCAGATCAGCCTGGGCAACAAAGCAAGACCCTGTCTCTACAAAAAATAATTAGCCAGGCATGGTGGCGTACACCTTTAGTCCCAACGACTGAGGAGTCTGAAGCAGGAGAATTGCTTGAGCCTTGGAGTTTGAAGCTGCAGTGAGCTATGATCGTGTCACTGCACTCTAGCCTGGGCAACACAGCAAGACCCTGTCTCAAAAAAAAAAAAAAAAGTTAAATTCCTAGGGCACATTTCTGGTCACACAAAAAAAATCACTAAACTTCTAGATAAAGACCAAAACACTTCTAATATTCAGCATTGAAATAAATGTGAGCAATACATACATTTACAAAAGATTAATAAAAGCAAGTAAAATAATTATTTACCCATTTATTTCAGTGCAGGGTCAGGTCCTGAGTGGCCAGAGCCTATCTTGGCTGCTTAGGGTGCAAAGCAGGAACCAACCCTGTACAGGACACCATCCCCATCACAGGACTTACTCATACACATGCTCACACTCAGACTGGGTCTGTTTATACATGCCAACTAACCTAACATGCACAGCTTTGTGATGTGGGAGTACCCAGAAAAAACCCACGCCGACGTGAGGAGAACATGCAAACAGACAGTGGCCCCAGCCAGGAGTCAGACTGTTTTTCTTTCATCAACGTTATAACCAAATGACGTTGAACAAAATATTATTCAAGGATCTGCTATAAATAGGAAAGTTTGCTTCTGTCCTAGGGCTTCATCTATGAAGCTGGAAGAGATTGCCCTGAAACCCTTTCCATTTCAGCATCAATATGCCTTCAAAGATGCTGGGACTGACTTACGAAGCCAGCCTGATAACAGAGGACTTCTCCGTGAGCGCAGGCCCAGAAGCATCGGTGATGGGAAAGCAGAGACTTGCACTGTTTCCAAAGGGAGCTCAGTACTCTCTGTCTGAGTGGTTTTCTAAAATTAATGTTACATATCTCTGATGGTCTGTTAAAGTCAGAGGCATCTGTCCTAAACCAAAGTAGATAGAAAAATAAAAGAATATTTAACTATGTTTCTATATCTAAACATAACTGTCACTTAAGATGCTTTTAGTGGCAGTGGTTTTAGAAGCAATTCAAACTGGCTCAAACAAGAAGTTTATTATATCACTTAACAGGAACTGTTCTTATCACAATGTAAGTTGAAGTTAATATAATCTGAAAAAAAAGCCATTAGTTTGAAAAAAAGTTAAAATCAAATCTTCCCTTGAAAAAGCTTTAAATTAGTGGTTGAAATCTAATTTACTTTGCTGTTTTATTCATGAAACCTCTGGTTTTATACTCATTCCCTCTTGACTGTTACAGGGAGTCTCCTTCTACTTCCTTGAGGACATTATTCAACAAACATTTACCTAGCTGCTTTTATGGAGCTAGGTTTGGATACCGTCTCAATCCATTTGGGCTACTATAACAAAATATCTTAGACTATGTAACTTAAAAACAACAGGGGCTGGGAAGTCCAAGATAAGGCACAAGCAGATTTGGTGTCTGATGAAGGCTCATTATTTCATACTTGGCATTTTCTTGCTGTGTCCTCACATGGCAGAACAGAATGGGCAAACAAACTCCCTCTAATTTTTTTTTTTGGAGACAGGATCTCACTCTGTCACCCAGACTGGGATGCAGTGACGCAGGCACAGCTCAGTGCAGCCTTGACCTCCTGGGCTCAAGTGATCCTCCCACCTAAGTCTCCGGAGTAGCCGGGACTATAGGCACGCACCACCATGCCTGGCTAATTTTTTCTTTCTTTTTCTTTTTTCTTTTTTTTTTTTTTTGTAGAGACAGGGTCTCACTATTTTCCAGGCTAGTTGCGAACTCCTGCGATGAAATAATCCTCCCACCTTAGCTTCCCAAAGTGTTGGGATTACACATGTGAACCACTGCCCTCAGTTCCCTCAAGGATCTTATAATCAGATGGAGGAAACAGAAAAGTAAACAATTGTAAAGCAGCCTGATAAGCAAAAAGAAATAGGTCCAAATGAGTATTGTGAGGGCATTTTTAAGTGTATATCTCACCTAGGCTGGGGCCAGGTGAGATTTCCTAGAGATTTGAACTGAGTCCTGAAGGGCAAATAGGAGTTGGCCAGCTGAATTCTACAGAAAGAGAGAAGAATGTTTTACGTAGAACATTAGTGCAGTTGATCCTCATAATTTATGAATTCTGTACTTGCTAAATTTATATGTAATCTTAAAATCTATACTTGTGGCACTTTTGCAGTCATTCACCAACACACACATAGCCGCAAGGAATTTGAGTCACCCAGCATGCATATTTACAGCTGAGTTTGAACAAGGTGACATACTGCCTTCTTGGTTCAGCTCTCATACTGTAAACAGTGTCTTTTTCACAGTATATTTAATGCCATATTTTTTATATTTTTGTGATGTTTTTGGTGATTTCGGTGTTCAAAAATGTTCCCCAGGTGTAGTGCTAAAGTGTTATCTATTGTTCCGAAGTGCAAGGAGACTGTGATGTGCCCTATGGAAAAAATACCTGTGTTAGATAGGCTTCTTTCAGGCATGAGTTATGGTTGTGCAGGCTGTGGGTTCAATGCTAATGAGTCAACAATATGCATTAAATAAGATATCTTTAAACAGAAATACATATACAACAAGGTTGTGTATTGTATTGATCGGTTAAAAAAAAGTGTGAGCAGTCCGGGCACGGTGGCTCATGCCTGTAATCCCAGCACTTTGGGAGGCCAAGGTGGGAGGATCACGAGGTCAGGAGTTTGAGACCAGCCTGGCCAACATGGTGAAACCCCATCTCTACTAAAAATACACAAAGTAGCCGGGCATGGTGGCAAGTGCCTGTAATCCCAGCTACTCAAGAGGCTAAAGCAGGAGAATCGCTTGAACCCAGGAGCTGGAGGCTGCAGCGAGCCGAGATCATGCCATTGCACTCCAGCCGGGGTGACAAGAGCAAGACTCTGTCTCAGGAAAAAAAAAAAAAGTATGAGCAGAGGGCTCACAGAAACCTAACCTGTGTTTCCCCAAGGAGCAGTGGTTCGGTATTCACTAATTGAATGTTTGTTGCAAGTTTTCTAGGAATAACTACTACTAATAATGAGAATTGACTATATGTGCAGAAGTATAGATGAATGAAAACATGGTGTGTTCAGGGAATTTTAGTCACTCATTATAGCTGCAGTATAGTTTG